GTCGGAACTGTTGTAGATGGCGCAAAAATCATTACCCCGTTTTGACCGCCAAGTTTCCCTACCCTGTACATAAATTGAGTATCAGAATCAGATCAGAATGCACGTACTCCCAGTATTCCAGTGACTCCAGGAGTCGAATCAGAGATTCAAGTAATCAGAATCGGCTCTTTTGCTGAATCTGACCCACGGTGAAAAGAAATGGGTGGGCTAATGCGCATCGTATCTGACTTCAGCCAATGAGCTTTAGGCGCCAGTTGCGTCACAATATTAGCGGGAATTTTAAATGTCAAAATTATCACCAAGTCATTGGACTATATATGAAGCACTTTTTTTTAAATATTGTATTTTAAAAGATGCTATTTCAATTACACCTTCATAGTGTTAGAATTTCCGTTGGTCACCACTGAAAATTGTTACTCTATGCCCCTTTCAAAATGTTTCGCAACACCTTTCGCTCTCCATGAAGCATGGCGGCTAATGTCTGGTCTGGCTTTCCAAGCCAGTGCTTGTGTTGTGGTCACGAGATTCATGACGAAACCTAGAGCTGAGAAGAACGAGCAAGAATCTGTGCACCGGAGAAGCCCACGTATCTCCGTCCACCATGATATGAGCGAGGAAATGAGATAAATAGATTGTAACCTCCCAATACTATAGAGCTGCCCAGAATGACGTCTCGACGTTTGGCGGGAACGTGTTGGATAGTAAATTCTCGTGTGTGCATGCTTCCTTGAGCATTAGTAAGTTTTGGTAGTGGCGGCTCGCGTACAAATGTTCAGGGTAGGCAAAACAGATTACTGAACAGCGGTGCAACTCGGGAAGGGAGCGAGGAGGTCATGTCCTACTTCAATACATTTTTATTATAATTTTATGCAATTTATTCAAAACAGTTGTGTCACTGATATCAATACATTCCAAAGCATTATTTCTGTGATGCACGCGTAGAGATTTTTCCCCGAAGGTTTAAGATTCAGTGAATTACATATGTGATCTTTTGACATCTCATGTTTGCGTATAGCTTTTGATAATGTTTCATATCAAAATATCCTTATCTATTCCAAGAACTCTCCTTAATTGACAATAAAAGATAGGACCAACAAAAAAGTTTAGCTTTAACTTTACTCCCAGTTTTCATATGCGTGAATCATACCACAACTGATTGAATTTTCTCGCCAGCACGATGTACAAGCGTACACAACATAGGAGAAGGTCGATTATTGTCCAAAATCGTTTCGTTGAGAAAACGGTGTACGTAGTAGTATTCATTGTATCTGTACGTATTCATTGTATATGTCATAATATTAATGTAAAATCAGATTTAAATATAAAAAAAATCAAGTGACACTAATAATCCGTAGGATATTAATTTAAAATAAAAATATAAATACTTCCTAAATTACAATCACTTCCTCTGCTTGTTAACTCAACAAA